TCCTGCCAAGCACAGACCCGAACACCGCGGGGTTCCCGGGGTCTGCAATTGCGGGTATGGAGAGCATCCCGAAACCACGCATTTAAAATTAATTGGGAATTATAAACAAATTAAGCATTGAGGCAGCCCTGGTACAGGCCTGAGTGCGTGATCAGCCCGCTGCTCCCTTCAATTATCTTTTTTTTTTTTCTCCCACATTGTTCTCTCCTAATGAGGAGGCTAATGACCAAAGGATGGTTCATAAGTGGTTCCCAGACTCTCCTTGCCCTGGGCAAACATCGTCCACAATAGGATCACAAATTGTAGGGAGAAGCCCCGGCTGATCACATCAGAAACGGTGCAGGGATTTATCTCTCTGCCTTAACAATAACAGTATGTTCTTAATCGCCACTCCAAAGGGACAGCTAGCAGGGGATCTGCCCGGCCTCATCATTAAAAACTGGCAGCATCTTTGCTAGCGCTGCCCCTTTGTTCATCTTTTATTATTCCAACGCTCCGGCCCCGTTAATTCCTCTCCATCTTATTAAATCAATAGAGATGGAGCAGGGGAAGGATGGGGCAGAGCAGGGCTCGGATCCGGCTCGGCTCTCAGCAGGGGTGCTGAGTGGGATCACACCCGGCTCAGATAAGCACGAGTCGAGCTGATACCGCGCGTCTCCAAAGCTGTATTTACTCAGCTCCTGCAGCTGGGGAAACTGAGGCACGGGAGAGTCGCAGCCGAGAAGTCTCAAGAGGAGGTTTCAACAGAGCGGGGAGCACTTTCTCTGACTGCCAGTCCTGCACCTCCCCTTCTTCATCACACATCGTCAAAACTTACTTGATTTAACGATTTAATCAACTTTTTAAAACAAAATCACAGCACTGCCTAGTGCCAGGGCCCCAGGTCCATCCCTAGCGGAAGCCCAGCCAAACCGTGCCAGGGCAGCGGTGTCACCAGGGACAAGGGATTTTGTGTCACCAACTGTTTGCAAAGGGGGAGATGGTGCCATTTTCATCATTTTTTTTCTTTTTCCTAACAGTTTGTCTCACCGAAACCAAGTAAACTGGTTTCTGGCAGGTGCGGCCATGTGCATGGCTGGGAGCAGAGCCGGAGAGGAATTTCCTCCCAGTTTTTCCATTTTTGAGGCTGGGATGGGAGGTGAGGAAGGAGCAGGGAGGAGGAGGGCTGATGGGGTGAGCACCAACAGCTCTTTGAGAGCCGATGCGCCCCATGGCAAACCCCGACCAGGGCTGATGGGGTTCCCGTCCCAGACCCTGCACCTCCCGACACAGGATTTAGGTATAAATCACTCGCTCTTGCTCTGACAGCGCTCGGTGCACGGTCCTGCTCTGCTGCCCTGTGTTTCTTCCTGCAGGAAGAACCTTTTTTTAAACCCAGAGATTTTGGCCAGTACAATTGTTATCCAATTTTTGTTTTCGATGACACAATGCTGACCTGATTTGAGGGGTCCCCTTAGTCGCCTGGTTCCCCTGCTGCATTTCCAGGCAGGTCACCCCGTTTCACCCCTGTTTTCACACAGCCAAGAGCTACTTCCCAGATGAGACTTTAATGCAAAGAATACAGATTCTTTGGCTTCTTGCTTTTTGGCTGAGTAAGGCACCTTGGGGCAAATTCATCCCAGAAAGACTGCAAAAAATGGGATGTCGTGGCACTTCCTCCCATTGCTCAGGATGTCTTTTTTTTTTTTTTTTTTTTTTTTCTT